TGAACGTTGAACGCAAAACAAACTTTGAAGCACTTACCTACAAACAAAGGCGTCCAATTATTGAAAGCTGGCAAGGCGCATGCCAGAAATATCAGCATAACTCCGACTGACGCGGCGGTCCCAAGACCAACCATTGCTGTACACAATGATATACAGAGACGTTGAGAACAAGGACCTCAAACAGGCAGTTACGATACCATGTTAGATTGGCATATGTGATCAAGAGTGAGGGTAAACGAATAGAAACTATCTCACGACATCTCGCTAATCTAAGCAGCCTGAATAAATAATATCGCAAAAGAGCACATATCACATCATGTCGACTTTCATACAACAGACGCAGCTTTCGACGTATACGGGGAAAAACTAGTAAAAGAATCAGGTTTATAGTACCTCTGCCTAAACTTGTAAGACGATCAAAAAAAGTATATCGTGCTGAGCATTTACAGGTTTACATGCCCATGACGGTCTGCAACTGATATAGAGGTATGGTAAATTATAAATGCCATATTATCAATTTTTTCACATTGGTTTACAAATACTTCTGTCTGCGTATATTCTTACATGTTGACACATGCAGAAAAAATCACAAAAAATCGATTGTTAGAAACAGCTACAAATGCGGGTTTATACATAATATCAAAAATAAAATATATCTGCGCATATAAACCGCTCATAAACAACATGCATAACCATGCACATGATCATATGCCATACATGTACAAGTGTATAGGTCCTCATAATAATATAACGTCGATACCTCTTGACATAAAACGAATACAACAATAATATAAACAAAACCCTTTTGCATTTATATTTGCATATTATCTACACGTAAAATACGTATATGTACGCATAATCGATTTCGAAGTACATCTATGATTTTACGAAACAACGTAGGTATTTCACAATATGATACGTATGATACAAATATGATGACAACACGCGGCTAGATGATACCTCATACACATGTATCTCCAATTGTACAAATAGTCATGAACAACACGAGCACAAACAGCCAAAACTATATATATATATAGATATATATATATATATATATATAATTATATACATACATACATACGCACAACAAACA